TCCCTGTCTTTATCCTAGGGAGCCTTTCACATGGAAATCCAAAAATACAGACAAAGATGGAAGAAACTAAAGGTATCCAGGGAACTTAGGACCTAACTCCAAGTGTTAAGGGCAGGACTGTGTATTTGGGTCTGAGGATCACCTGCTCCCATGAATACCCAGGGTACCCGTGGAAGCAGGTGATCCTCAGACCCAAATAGTTTCCAATTTTCAGTTTAGGGGAAAAGAATAAGAAAGACTTCTGAAGTTCATGTATCCCAAAGTTTATTTCTTCAACACAGGGCATCTCCCTCCCTCTCCTTCCTTCTCTCTAACACACACACACACACACACACACACACACACACAATAGCCCACCCTCTCAAATATCCAAAGGTACACACACACACAAATATACAAGCTACAACGAACTTCACAAATACACAAACTACACGATGGGAAAATCCATTGTGCCCACATAAAGAAACAAGTGACATGTCTTCAAGGATACCTCACTAGTCACAAACATGGTTATTACCACATCTGGCCCATGAGAGGATGGACACCAATGCAAGCAAAACCCAAGCGTCAAAGCGCTTTCTAATGTTGGCTGTGATTCTCAGCCGCCCTCCCCAGGCTTCTTTAAGGTTCTGAAGATTAAACAGTCGGTAGCCAACTTTGTACACATGCCTGTAAACAAGAGGGCTCAGCTTTAAATAATTATGTCAAAGAAATGACAACTGTGCTCTTTGCCAGAACAGGGATGAATAATTACAAAGCCAGGACATAATTAAGCAATTCTGACTGTCGGATTTTTGAGCTGTCTCTCTGATGTGCAGGGCTGGCGAGCCCACCACACTCGTCCTCTTGGACAGTCCTCTGCACCCCTTTGATCTGTGTTTCCCAGTGCAGTGAGGGGGTCCACAGTCTGGTTACTAGAGAACTCTTTCTTTGGGGACCTGAATCTTCTCTGTATCCAGTGTGGTGTTCTCTGTATTAAGGATGGCATGATTCAATGGCCAATATTTGATAAATTTATATATATATATTTTTATATATTTTAATTTGGGGAAATGACAAAACCTAGCTGTTGCAGGTCCATCAACTAATCACACACACACACACACACACACACACACACACACACACACACAGAGAGAGAGAGAGAGAGTCTAGAAGCATCCATTGTAGCATCAGCTATCACTTCCTAATGAATGACAGCATCTTTCTGTACAACAGTCAGAGCTCAGACAGAAGGCAGTTTTGAAACAACAAAAGCCAAAAGGTAGCAACAGAGGAGAAATGTGTCATGATGGGAGAAAGTGAGTGAGGACTTGCACTCAAGCGCCAGCGCCTGTCAGGTACCCGATCAGGCCTCTGCGACATCGGGCCTTTATCACCTCCTAGATGGTTCTGCATTTGCGTCAGCCGAGAACACCCAGACTGCCCGTTCCCTACCTCCAAGGCAAGGGCTGTGATTGGAGAGGCATTTTCCATTCTCCCAAATACTTTATGTCAGGAATAAAATGAAAACAGCTCCCCAAATCACGGCTGCCTTGATCATCCATCAGCGCATTCTGCTGTATAAGCACAACAGGCCTTGGCTCCCCTGGAAAGGACAGAAGCCAGCTTGAGATTCTGATTCCATCATGAAAAATAGGTCTTCCCTGAGTGTGCTCAGCACAGCAGCAGCAACACATGGAAAGGAAATCACTCACCACTTAGAAGCTGACTCTGGTGTACACATACCTCCCAGAACATGCATATGTATATATACACAGACACAGAAGCGGGTATACACACCTGCATGGGAACAAACATATGTCTGTATACATAGTGAACAGGTGAGAACCAGCCTTTTTAATGCCAATTTAGTAATTCAGAAAGGAGCTCATTTAGCCTTTTTCTTTCTACAAGAAAAGTACCGCTGCATATCTCTGAAAATAACAGACGAAAGGGAAGTGCCTGCCATTCAATGTAGGCATCCAGTTCTAGATAAAATCAAGAACACAGAAGAATCATCCTGAGCACTCGAAGAATCATGGCATAAATTGAACACCTAACTGGAAGCCCAGACCCCTGGTGGTTCTGGTCCCAATTCCATGGAGCCTCAGGAAATTGTACCTTCTCCAAGTACCCTCATCCACGAAATGGGAGCACAGACTATGTGATTTCTAAGTCCTCTGGTAAGGAAATCATGTGACTACAGGAAGAACCAAGATCCCCATCATTTATGTGCTTTTGTCTCTCTCCTCAAATAATTAGCAGGTATATATTTTTTAACTTTTGTTTTAGGTTGGGGGTAAAAATGCAGGTTGGTTATATAGGTAAACTTGTGTCATGGGGATTTGTCGTACAGATTATTTCATCACCCAAGTACCAAACCTAGTACTCAATAGTTATTTTTTCTGCTCCTCTCCCTCCTCCCAACCTTCACCCTCAAGTAGGCCCCCATGTCTGTTGTTCCCTTCTTTGTGCTCATGAGTTCTCATCATTTAGCTCTCACTTATAAGTGAGGAACATATGGTATTTGGTTTTCTGTTCCTGCGTTAGTTTGCTAAGAATAATGGCCTCCAGCTCCATCCATGTTCCTGCAAAGGACATGATCTCATTCTTTTTTATGGCTGCATAGTATTCCATGGTGTATATGTATCACATTTTCTTTATCCAGTCTGTCACAGATGGGCATTTAGGTTGATTCCCTGTCTTTGCTATTGTGAATAGTCCTGCTCTGAATATCCACGTGTATGTGTCTTTATGATAGAACAATTTATATTCCTTTGAGTATATACCCAGGAATGGGATTGCTAGGTCAAATAGTAGTTCTGTTTTTAGCTCTTTGAGGAATTGCCATAGTGCTTTCTACAATGGTTGAACTAATTTACACTCTTAACAGGCTTTTTAAAGCTTAATGCAGTTAGTAAGGATATTGGAGTCAATCATACAAACATGAACTAATTCTAGAATTGATTAGAAACTAATTGGAAACTCTGAAGAGCATTTCTGCTGATGTTGCTAATGACTCAGAAATAGCTAATGCTGGATTTTAAGGAGCCAGTCTCAGACGCTTTCAGAAGCAAGGAAGGATTTCGATTCACCCCCAATCTCTATTCAACAGAATAGTCCTGGTCTCACTCCTTTTCTTCATTTAGACCTCAGGAGGTTTTGCTTGAACAAAGAGATCCACAGGGTAAATATTTAGCTCACTGCTCCAGGTGTAAGAAAGCAAAGAGAAAGGAGTGTGGGCCCAGTGGTCAGACGCAAGGTAGACCTCAAGCTCCACAATTACTAGCCAGGTGACCTGTGGCAGCCCAGTTAAGTTCTCCAGGCCTGAGTTCCCTCATCCATAAAGTGAGCCAATGACCCCTTCCTTCTACTGTAGAGGGTGATGTGAATACTTGCAGAACTGTGCACCAAGAGCCTTAGAACAATGGGGGGCATACACTGAGTGCCCCATTCAGATATGGTGGGCGCCACCTTTATTACCCCTTCAGATTTTGAGTGACAAGGTAGAGCTTCCCACATCAAAGGCAATGAGCACTGGAGAAATACTGATCCACTCTGCACACAGGTATACACATCTATACAGATGTATCTAAGAAGGTGAGATGCGTGGGCAGGTTGTTTCTAATAACCCAGGATATTATAGAGTGCATTTGTTGTACTTTTGCTGTTTGGCCATCTCTGGACTGTTTTCCCCAAAAACAAATAAAAAGAAAGCCAAGAAATAAATTATCTCATTTGGAAAAATTACAAAAGCTGGAAAAACTGAAGGCAATCGTGTGCAGTACATCAAGCCTGTGCCTCGATAGGGAGAACAGTTAACACTTTAATAGCTATGAAATGAATCACTCAGTTAATCTCCCACATGCTGAAGGAGGTAACAATACATTTATCTGCCAGTATTATACCCTCCATATCATATATTTCCACAACTGCTAGCAATTTTATTCAGCATAATGGGAAATGAGTTGTACCTCATGGATTCAGGGAAAGTAAGTGACCTGAGGTCTGCTGCCAGCAGAGCCACCTGATGGAAGATGTTTCATTGTTCTGTTCTGTTTTTGTTTTTTCTCCTCCCTCCCCACCACCCTTAATCACTTGCAATGCACGTGCAGAGTGCTGCAAGTCAATAGTTGAGGATAAACTAGACCTCTAGGATATCAGTACCAGCGTTTTCAACACACAAGCTGCAATCTCATGGGAGGTGACTGCACAGCTCCACAGAGCCTCAAGGCGATGACGGTTCTCCAAGGAGGTCATCAGGGGTCATTGAGTTCATTCCCCAGCCTATGGCTTCACTGAAGGACTCCCAACTCCTCCCAAAGAGACAGTCATCCTTGTCCTTAAAAAATCTCCTTGTGTCTGAATCCAGACCCCAAGCCAAATCTCCACTGCCTCATCAGAGCTGCTATTAGGATGACACCAAATTCACTTACAGGCTCAGCTGGTAAAGGAAAGGTCAGTAAACACCATTCTAATCAGCTCTGGAGAGATACATGTGGAGGGCATATGCCAGCCTAGGGACACATTGTCAGAAAACATCACCTTCCACACTAACAATATCTCAGAGAGCTGTGGAGCCCTTGCCTGTGATGGAAGAAAATCACTCTTCCCTAGCATCCCTTTGGCAGTAAAAAAGCAAGGCCCCTTCTGAAATACTAGAAGAATCCCACCCACCCCAGAAGCCCACCCATACCCAATGCTTTCCTCTTTCTCCTTTCTCAGCTGCAAACCTGCAGATGCCCCACTTAGGGAATATTTCCAAGAAGGAGATCTGCAATCCCCTGCAGAACTTCACCATTGGGCTATGCATAGTGCTGCTTTATTGGTAAAACAGGAAGATCCGATTGGAACTTAATCCTATTTCATGTTTGACCAACAATGTATCCATGGATGGCCCCTTCATGTGAGATCTCAACTGCATTCTAAACATTCAGAGGACATTCTCCATGCCCTGGAGCATAAGTACTACCATGAGATCTAAATCCCTTGTGAAGAACAGGGAGTAGGCAGCTTACCTTGGGCTTCACCACCTTCATGAAGGCTCCTCTGACCAACGCCTCCTCTCGTTCTTGTCTGGTTACTTTCCGGGCATCCAGAAATTTCAAGTTGGGCAGCTTGTACAGAACAAAGCATCTGGAAGACAAGAGTCAGAGACAACTCGGAAAGGTTTGAATGGCAGCCTGAGAGACCCGGACAGCTTGTCTGATCTTCAAGAACCCACACCATCTGATCTTCCGGAGCTTAGACCTTGGCAGCTCATCCTCTCTTCTTTCACAAAGAACGAACAATTGCTCCTTGGAGAAGTCAGAATGCTTCTGTCTTACACAGATGTACAACTATACATTAGAAGCACACACTAAGGGTACACTTGGCTCAAAGGTAAACACATACATGTGGGTTAGCCAGTAGCACCCTATCAATGTATTCCCTTCTTTCCAGTCTGGAAAACACACTTAGCTTTGCTATATAGAAGTTCTCAGTAAAATCAACCTATAAATTGATTGTGCCCTTTACATCGCTGTCATTCCTATGGGTCATCTGTATCATAGACAGTAATGACATGGATGACTGTGGGTTAGAAGTGAAGAACACATGTAGCTGAGAAATGCTTCCTTGAGGAATCAGGCAGGGGTCTTAAGAGCTTTTTTCTCATCATCCCTTGATAATTCATGTGCTTATCTCCACACTTGCTAATCTATGAAGATTATCAAGGAGAAATAGGGGGAGTTAATTTCTAGGAGATATTAATGTCCCAACAAATGCTAGGTACTCTTCATTTCCCGGGAAAAACTTCTTGGCATACGTATGGAGTCCAGAAATAAGCCAATGGCTGCTGGTGTAATTAACTGTCCTCAAATAGGTGTATTTGGAGTTGACAAGGATAACCACTTGGCCAGGGTATAGTTATATCAATGTACAAACAAATATGTAACAGGTATGGACATGTGTGTATACTTCTCCCTTGTCAAGGACAGTCACTAACCAAGATGCTTTCCGTCAAGTTCCATAGCCCACCAATCAAACGAGCTAATTGTTTCCACCCTATTCTGCTTAGCAGGAACAGGTGAGTACCCAGTGTCAAGAGTAATGGATTATCTCCAAGGGAATGTGTCATTTCCTCCCCATACCCAGCCTCCAAGCCTCATCTCCTATGAAGGTGTTTTGTACACCTCCATCCCACATTGCTTTCTCCCTTCTCAGGATTACTAGAATATGCTATCGGCACCTTACAGTCTAACATTTTGTTGTTTTCTAATTGTTTTCTTGGTGTTCATTAATGTCCTTACCTAAACTGTAAGCTTCTTGAAGGCAGGGGCTAATTTCTTTGCTCTCTCTCACCACCTCCTGAAAACTGGCATTAGAATGGAGTCAATAACATACCAGTTTATTTCAGTTGCACAAATATTTCTCGATCTATGTGCCAGGCCTTAGGGATACAGAGGTGACTACAACATGCTTCCTGCTCTCAAAGGTGTTCTCAGTGTAACAGCAATTCTACACTCACATGGAGAACTTAGGAATCGGCATAGCTAAGTGCCAAGGTTGAGGTTTTCCACAGAGTGGTTACTGGAGCACAGAGAAAGGGGTCTACAGACGGAAAACTCAGTGGAAAAGGAGAAACAGGAACTCTCAAGTGGGCATCAAGGAACCACACCCCAAGGCAATCCCAAGCACCTAGCTATTCCTCAATAAGGATATTACTTGGAACAGTGTGCCTCCCTCCTTACTGGAGCCTTGAGTTCCCAAGACCACCTTCCACATTCGTAAGGTGGTCTCATTTCTGGTGGCAGTAGCAGCCCATCTGGAGCAATTGCTGCAAATACACCGCTTCAGTAGGGGCTTCTTGCTCAGAGCTGGCAGGAGCCAGGAACAGGTAGGAGCCCCACGCCCTCCTGAGTTGGTGGGGCAAGAGCCCCTGCTCCAGGGTACAACTGCAGCTGCCCAGCTGCAGACCCAGGCATCCCTGTGCTCTAGGGGGCTTGGGAAGCCCCCTCCCCTGGCAGGCTTAGAAGTGCCTGCTCCTGCTGCCTGGCCTCTCCCCATTCCCAACACCCACTCCAATTTCAGAGCAAAGTTGTGGCCAAGCCTAGTCACTGTCACCATGTGACTGGGTGTGTACATACTCGGGGCAGTACTGAAATGCCAGCCACCTGTCACCTCAGCCCCCTCTGGACTTTGGGTACTGACAAGCACAGAAGGAAGGCCAAGGGGCAGCTAAGGACAGCTCTGTATGGGCCTGCAGGCATCTGTTGACACAAACAGCCTGGGCACCATAGGCACTGTGGACAGCAGGTTGATGGCTGGCAGCAGGAGTCAGATGGGCTCCTGAGTGGAAAGGGGTGTGTCCCCAGTGAAGCTCCACCATCAAGCCAGGGATGGCCTAAAGCACAGGGTCTGGGCTGCCAGTTTCACAAACTGGACTAAAAACATATGGTACTTTTTCTGGGCCTGCCCATGGCCACCCATGGACCAATCAGCATACACTTCCATTCCTCTGAAGCCCATAAAAACCCGAAATTTAGCCAGACTTGGGCAGATGATGGAACAACCTGCCTGTGGAAAGGAGCTACCCACTCTGGGTCTCCTCTCTGCGGAGGGCTGCACAGACACTGAGATGACCTGCCTGCGGAAAGGAGCTACCCACTTTAGTTGTCCTGAGAGCCGTACTGTTGCTCAATAAAGTACCTCTTCGCCTTGCTTACCCTCCAGTTGTGTGCGTCCTTCATTATTCCCGGATCTGGGACAAGAACTTGGGACCCACCAAATGGCAGGACTGACAGAGCTATAACACAAACAGGGCTGAAACACATCCCCCTGCTCACCACATTGCAGGTAATGAGAAGGAGAGAAGAGTCACAGCCCTTTGGGAAGCCCAGACCTAATAGCTCCCCAAGCCAGGGTTGTGACACCCTCTTTGGGGCTTTGTGGTTCCTGGCATCTCCAAGCTACCAGATGCTACTATGTTGCCCAGGACCTGCAGTGGAAGCCACTTGTGGTATGCCTGGTCCAGGTGCAGCCTCACAGGGACCCGGTGCCCATGCCGGTGCCTAGAGTTGTCCAGCCACCACTGCTGACATGCCTGGCTGTGTGCAGTGGCCGGACCCCATGCTTGCTCCCTCATGTACCCTTCACTGCCCCACACCTGGCTTACCCTTGGTAGGCATGGGATCTGGACCTGCAACATGAGTCACGTGCAGCCTGCCAGTAGGCGGAACAAGCCCAGCGGGCCCAAGCAAAACTCAGGCAAAGGCACCACTAGCCACAGAGCTTTCCAGCTGATGAAGTGACACCCCAAGGATCTGGTGACGTTATCACCAAGTGGCCTGCATATGCTTATCCAGATAAAAAGCTTAGCTGACCACTGCAAAGCCAGAAAAAATAGTGTAGAGGTCTGCAGGAATAACCTTCATAGGGCTCATTGTTAAAGTCAAAATACTATGAAATTCTTTTCCTCCTTCAGAAATGTCTACCCCATGCCTGATGTTCTGAAATTTGACTCTAGCTACTTCCTGCTTCCTCCCTGGCCTCAATCTATGGCTTTCTTTCCTACCCTGGGCTCTCCCTTCCCTCTCCAAATACCAGCTAGCCTCACCCAACCTCAAGAAAGTGCCACAAATGCATAAATACCTTTTCTTTTCTTTTTTTTTTTTTTTTTTGAGATGGAGTCTTGCTCTGTTGCCCAGGCTGCAGAGCAGCGGCATGATCTCTACTCACTGCAACCACTGCCTCCCAGGTTCAAGCAATTCCCGTCTCAGCCTCCCGAGTCACTGGGACTACAGGTGTGCACCACCACATCCAGCTAATTTGTGTGTTTTTAGTAGAGACAGGGTTTCACCATGTTGGCCAGGCTGATCTCAAACTCCTGACCTCAAGTGATCTGCCCACTGGGATTACAGGGGTGAGCCACCACCAAATATCTTTTCTATCCTCCAGTAGAGCTCCCACCGGCCTCAGTCAATGTCAGAGAAAACTTCCGACTTTTGCTTGTAGCAGAAAAGTCTTGATGACAACAGACTCTTTCAAATACAGACATGTACAGACAGAAACAATATGTCAGGAGTGACGCGCAGGGAGTAAAGACACCCACTAAGTGTAGGGTGGGAAAAGATGAATATTCAGGGGAAGAAAACATCGGTATTAGAAAATCAGCCAATGTTTAACGATGGAGTGAAAGATGCCTTCACGGGGCTGGCAGGAACCAGGATGACAACAGACCGCACATTGTCATTTTGCCTCACTTTGGATCACAGCCCTGAAATCAAAGGAGAAAGAGAGAGGTGCTGGCTTTTAAGCTAGTTAAAAATTTTAGATGACAAAGAGCTGCTGTTTTCAGATCACTCTTCTTATACAATCAAAGAGACAGCCTATGACACAGGCTGCCAGTCAACCCCTGAAATGAAGAATGACTTGACACCCATCCCAGGGGCCAGCCTGGGTTTCCAAGTGGCTGCTGCTTGGAGAGGTTTGAGGGACACTAGGAGGGCTTGTTCCAAAGAGTTCCATCTGAGATTCAGCCCAGGGTCCAAAGTTCCTCCCAAAGAGATGTCTTCTTTCATTTACTGACTTATACATTCACTCATTCAACAAATAATTACGGAACAGCTACCACCTGTCAGGACCTGGGTCAGGTGCCAAGATGAGGAGATGAGCAATCCGGAAGGTCTGTGCTCTCAGTGAGCTTCCGTTCTTGCACAGTGGTTCCCAAACTTCAGTGGGCATCAGTGTGCCCTGGAGACTTCCCAACACACAGATGGCAGGGCCCCATCACAACAGTTTCTGATTCAGTATTGCTGGAACTGGGCCTGAAATTTACATTTCTAATATGTCCCCAAGTGATGCTGCTGCTGCTGGTTCTGCTGAGAGCAAATGTCCTCGTGAAAATAACACCATGAAGAATAGTAGCTTTGAAATAATAAGGAGGCGGGTGAGGCAGCAAAAAGTCTCCTTCCAGTTCTGCTACGGGTTGCCCTGCCCCAATGCTTGCAGTACACAAAGCCCAGCCAGTGGCCACCTCTGCCAGATCTTCCTGCCCCTTGGTGGCTTGGATGTGGCTCCAAACATTATTGCCAAGTAATAAGTCAGTGGGCTTCCTGCCTGCCTGTCCCTTCGTGGTCCTGGGAGATCTATTTCCC